GGTGACAGAATAAAGTTGTATAAAATTTGTCCTATCATTCTAAAGGGAATACTGGCAAAAATACCTGATATATTTATAAAAAAAAAAAAAAACACATTTTATTGGCCAATGAAAAAAAATTATCCTGCAAAACAAGCAGCGTCTTGGCTGAGATTGCTCTGCTGCTAGCAATGCACATTTCACAAGCAATCTGTATTATAGTATAAGAAAGAAGACCTGTATACAAGAGTATGGGAGTGCCGGTCGCTCATGAATATTAATGAACTATATGAATATTAATGAGCTTGGTCACAGTGCAAAGATTTGTTTTATTGATGTCAAAATATTTTGTTTCACAATTTAAAAGAGATTGAAATTAAAAATGAAACATTCTTGAATTGCAAATTCTGCAGACTAAAAACAGCAACAAATAATTTATTGTTGCAATGACTTATACTAAATAGTTTACCTGGTGTATCAGGTACTATAGGTTTGCCACCCGTTGCTATCAATATATGGGGTGCTGTATATTTCACACCATTGACTTGTATGCATTTGTCATCAGTGAATGACGCTTCACCTTTGATGTACTGCACATGGCTATTTGTCAGGTTATTTTCATAGATTCCATTCAATCTCTTGATGTATGCATCACGTAATTCTTTAATATGACTGAAATTATCAGGAAAATAAAGGGGTAATAGTGATGAAACATTTACCCTATCTGAAAACTACTAAATTCTACTTCAAATATGGTTTCTGGACTTTCTCTGCATGTACATGCAAATCTGTATTCATGTTATAGGATTTCGTCATCTGGCAAATCATTTAATATGCGTGCTGTATTTTCGTTAAAAGATTAAAACAGATGCAGAATAGAATTAGAACAAACATGGTAAAATGTCTTATTTTGATTACAGAAATAGAACAATTCTAAATAATACCAGTATACCTGTAGGAACTCGACCTGCACTGAATAGCTGATATGTTTGGAATTATTAATATTATTTGGTGGATACAAATATTAATGTTTATTGCTTTCTGACCTAAATGAGGCACATAGAACCCTGTATTGCATGAAAAACAGTTTCTGTGGTATAATTTTGTGCAAGACAAAGCTTTATTGCTATCACAGGTCAGTCAAAATCGGAGAATTTGTTCTTCATAAATGATAAAATCCTCAAAACATAAAAGTACCTAGCTGTAGTTTACAGTATGGCACACACCATGGCTGTCATACCATGCATAACACAAGATTCAGTAAATCATTTATTTTTAGAATGTGTATAATTTCACTCATCAGTAGATTCTTACCTCCAGTCAAAGTTCACTTTTCCATCAATTGTAAAACCATAATTTTTGTGGTCATGTAGAAATTCTGCATGCATCGCTGTGTTGTACATAACTTTCTTAGGAACACATCCTACATTCACCTACATGGTAGACAAAGTAAATATCAACTTAGATTTGTTGTTGTTATTATTTTCATATTTATATACCTAATTTAATTTTTACTGTATTGTTATCTTTTAATTTTAAATTGCACATTCAACAACTAAAACACAATTTTCGGATACCTTTTAGAAATCTTTAAAGGACGGGAGTCGTCCCGCCGCGTCATGTTCGATATGGGACTCATAGCGACGTATACAATGGGTGTAAAATACATTGTTTATTTACATGAAATTCGAACATGCGCTGCGCGACGACCACCGTGCTTTAAACTATTCCCATAAAATTATATTACACAAA